TTTTTAGTTGTATGTACATGTTATGCCTGGCTTTATAATTCCAGGCCGATGAGCAAGGCGGCGTGTTATGTTGTCATCAACTACAGTGTCCCGTTATTGCGATATCCAATAACGGTGCATGTAAATTTGGCACTGGCTATGTATCTGAAGCATACCTTTTTTTCAACTACGCAGGATAAGTTTAAGTATACCAATCTTACTTGCTTTTTGTGGCCAGTAGGACGTAGTCAAGTCTTAAGTGTATATCAATGACGTGGCCTGCTTTACACTTACATCGTACTTACCCAAGTATAATCCCTCTATACCGACGTAGTCAGGTTTTAGGGTCTTAGATGGCCGGCTTTACACTTACATCGTACTTACCCAAGTATAATCCCTCTATACCGACGTAGTCAGGCTTTGGGGTCTTAGATGGCCGGCTTTACACTTACATCGTACTTACCCCAAGTATCTACTCCCCCTATGCCACAGGACGTAGTCAAGTTCCAGATATATATCGATGACATGGCTGGGTTTCCAGAGATGAACAAAGCCTACTGTGAGATCATGGGCGATGACCCGCCTGCGCGAATCACCGTGGGACAGGCTAAGCTGGCTTTGGGTGCACAAGTAGAGATTGATGGCATTGCCTATCTTCCCAGAAAATAGAATGGGGATAATATGTATGCACGTACGTATATATGTATCTACAGAGAAATAAAAATATAGAGTACACGTGTGTATATATGTATCTACAGAGAAATAGAATATAGAGTACACGTGTGTGTATATGTATCTACAGAGAAATAGAATATAGAGTACCCGTGTGTGTGTATGTATCTACAGAGAAATAGAATATAGAGTGCATGTGTGCGTATTTTTTATGAAGTATTTTGGGGAACATGTACCTGTATCTGTGTATTATATAATTTCGAGCGCGCCGTTTAGTTCCTGGTGAACGTACAATGTACGATATACGATACTTGTCAACCCTGATGAGTTTCGGGATTGCACTATTGAAGTTATTCGGCTTTCAGTGCACAGTCTAGCTGATGACTTTTCGAGTTTTATAAACAGCCATCAATACGTATGGGGTTTCATTAGTTCCAATTTAGCAATTAAGTATAGCTACAGTTCCATGCCATGCATACTCCATGTGCCATACTCATAAATACAGCCATCACTAAGTATGTGCGTGCTTTTATTCGTTCCAATCTAGCAATTAGGTACTGCTACAGTTCCATACCATGCATACTCATAAATACAGCCACCATTCCTATCCACTATGGACACACAAGCCTCATATAAATGCATGTGTGTGTCTTTAAAGCTTCGAACCGAGGTGATGTTGTGTGGCGAATTGTATCTCTAGTGGGTTCTATTGGGTTATCATTTTTCAACTGCTGCTAAGGGTGCGCACTATTCGGGCTAGGCAGTGCTTTCAGCTAGCATGCATTATTCCTGGTTAATTGTCCACTTCTAAGCCTCTATCGTAGGACTCACTATCACACCGTCTCTGGAGTGATGTCTTCTGGCATACTACATTCCTTCTCACCGTATCTCAGGTAGAGCCATCAATGCTTACCAATACCATGCAACATAACCTTTCGAGTGTAACCAGCACGACGCTGCTCTATACAGTAATCATTGTGATAAGCTATTAAACTCGACCCAAGGTAAAGTCATTAAAACTATGTATATATGTACATATATGTATCTATGCCTATATATATCTATGCATATATATATCTATATCTATATATATATATATGTATATATATATATATATATATATATATATACTATATATATATATATAGTACTATATAATATATATAT